TACAACAGATTTGTGGCAACTACATAAGGCACATTGACGTAATTACGTGTAATTTACAACAGATCTGTGGCAACTACATAAGGCACATTGACGTAATTACGTGTAATTTACAACAGATCTGTGGCAACTACATAAGGCACATTGACGTAATTACGTGTAATTTACAACAGATCTGTGGCAACTACATAAGGCACATTGACGTAATTACGTGTAATTTACAACAGATCTGTGGCAACTACATAAGGCACATTGACGTAATTACGTGTCATTTACAACAGATCTGTGGCAACTACATAAGGTACGTTGACGTAATTACGTGCAATTTACAACAGATCTGTGACAACTACATAAGGCACATTGACGTTATGTATGCAAGACAACCATTTAAGAAATACTGATAGGTGGTAGTCCTTGTAAGAAATATATACAGTATTTATATACAATAATGATTGCCAAAATACTAATGTATGGCTATATCCAACAACAACAAAAAGGATAACAGACTTTGTTCATTCGCTTCCATTTCGATTATTGTGACACATACTTTAATGATAATATTACTTGTTGGCGGCAGATGTGACACGTACTTTAATGATAATATTACTTGTTGGCGGCAGATGTGACACGTACTTTAATGATAATATTACTTGTTGGTGGCAGATGTGATATTTGAATGATAATATTACTTGTTGGTGGCAGATGTGACACGTACTTTAATGATAATATTACTTGTTGGCGGCAGATGTGACACGTACTTTAATGATAATATTACCTATTGGTGGCAGCTGTAACACGTACTTGAATGATAATATAACCTGTTCGTAGCAGCTGGAGGTTTCTTATGGAAATACAGTCAGAGCTTTTCATATGTTACCTGGAAAATACACATACAGATGCCAGTTCTTTTTTGGAAAAGGTCAAATACGCCACGTAATGACAGGTCACCTACATGACTTTGCCCATGAACTCAATGTGGCCCTTAGGACAGAAGCTAGTGTGGCTACTAAAGGCCAAATTATAAGGATCATAGTCCACGAGTCCAGCTTAATTTTCAGTCCCACAGTTAATTGCTCAGCTAGTTTGGACTTTTGCCAAGACTATAATGACACTAAACGACACTGGATATCTCTTCATGGATAAAACAAGATTTCATGGCCCTACTAACAACTGATGGGTTCTAGTCTGGAAAATCGGAGGTAAACAATAAGCTTAGTGCAACATCGTTGGATAAGGCCAATTCTGTAATTGTTCAATTATGGTATGGAGAGGCATTAGAATGAATGTATGATATCTTATTTTATTGTGGTATGGAAAGGTATCAGAATGAATGTATGAGATCTTATTTTATTGTGGTATGGAAAAGTATCAGAATAAATGTATGAGATCTTAATTTATTGTGGTATGGAAAGGTATTAGAAAGAATTTATGAGATCTTATTTTATTATGGTATGGAAAGGTATCAGAATGAATTTATGAGATCTTATTTTATTATGGTATGGAAAGGTATCAGAATGAATTTATGAGATCTTATTTTAGTATGGTATGGAAAGGTATCAGAAAGAATTTATGAGATCTTATTTTATTGTGGTATGGAAAGGTATCAGAAAGAATTTATGATATCTTATTTTATTATGGTATGGAAAGGTATCAGAATGAATTTATGAGATCTTATTTTAGTATGGTATGGAAAGGTATCAGAATGAATGTATGATATCTTATTTTAGTATGGTATGGAAAGGTATCAGAAGTAAATGCATGAGATCTTATTTTATTATGGCATGGAAAGGTATCAGAAAGAATTTATGAGATCTTATTTTATTATGGTATGGGGAAGCATCACAAGGAATAGATGAGATGAGAATATTATATTCGACAATATGTTAACGTGTTATTGGGCCCTTAGTATCACAATTCACGATTATAATTTCCAGAAATGTCGTGTATGTCAACGTTTTAACTAATAAGTGACCTAAAGGGTTCTACAAGTCTAAGAAAACGTCTCTGGAAACGTCTTCCGATGACTAGTAATAATTGGTTTATTCGGATATTCGCGCAACGCTACAAAAGGGCTATCTGCGCTAGCCGTCACTAATTTTGAACTGATAGACGAGAAATTAGACAACTAGTCAACAGCACCCACCGCCAACCCTTGAACTACTCTAATCAACTAACGGAATTGGACTGCTACTCTCCATAACGAACCAGACACTCAAAAGTGTCGAGCGCGTTTTTTTTTTTTTTGTGGTAATGGAACACGAACCACAGATGTAATGAACACCAGGTGGCAACAGTCGATCCAGAGCCAAATATTACTCTTTCGGATAAATTGGTTCAATCAAACCTTAAAAATCACACTCCACCAGTTTTAATAAGCGATTTACTGTGATAAGAACGGGATCGTCAACTTTTAATCAGTGAAAAATGGTGATTTAGAAGTATATTAATTATTTCAGCCTATTTATTTATTTGGTTGAAGAACAAACATGTAGAGTCGTCAACTTTTTGATGGCCATAGATAGGCCTAAATAAAATGTTTTTAATTGTGTGCCAGTTTAACGTTGAATATTATTTATTATTATTACATTATGTTTTCATCCAAGTTGCTAGATAAGCAGAATATTGGGAAAGATATAACGAGACAAACTTATTTCTTCGAATGCACTTTAAACCCATATTTTTTTTTCAAACGTGTACTTTGAAGATAGACAAATCTAATGCATCTTACTTTGATTGGAGCTAGGACTTATTTTATGCATGAAAACTAGAAGTACATCGTGTTGAAGTTTCCAAATAGACAAGTCTGCGATATTTTTTGTCTGCTTATAATTTTAGAGAAAAATCTCGTGTCCTGTTTATTATTTATTCCACTTGGCAAGCTTCATTAAACAAAAAAAACATTAAAATGTTTATGAGGAGATGACTTGTAAAACATGTTGTAATGTTTTATATTCTTGGATAATGCTTAGACAATCGAGTGAACGATCTTGTACCTGCTTTCAATAACGTAATCAATTATATATACGTATATCAGTAGTTGCAAATAACACATGTATAAAAATATTGAAACATTCCTCCCAACTTCCCCTCTAGTTATCGATAGGGTGTTCATTTTAATTATATTTACTTAGTATTTAATAACAAAAGATTTTGTTTGAGTTGCGTAAGAAATCTAGATATTAATAGCTAGTAATTTTCAAAGCTTCATACAGATTTTTACTTACACAAAATATTTATAACAGTCTCTGCTACTGCTTTGCCGTGCTTGTTACTGGCTATACACACGTAAGTTCCTGCCCTCGTGCGGGAAATTGTATCATTAAGGAAAAGCTGTGAAGAGTTGGAAATGATTTTATTGGAGAATTTCCACGTGTACTCGCTGGGAGGCCAAGAGTTCGCTGAGCAGTTAATCTTCTCTGGAACGTTCCCTTCTACAACGTCTAGTTGGTCCACAGACAGAGTTATATTCTCTGGAGTAACTGAAGTAGATATCATAAAACGATATTTATATCATAATAACCACAGCGAGGAAAACAGTGTGACTACTGCTTCGAACAATACCATCAGCAATGTTTTTAGCGTTTGCACAAAGAAATCAATTTTCATCTTTTACTTGAAAAAAGTTCTGAAAAAGTCTGTTACATTTTTTTTTATTCAATATCAAAATAAGGGGCGTAGTAGAAGCCTGTGTCATATTTACAAAATTAGTTAAACAAACAAACACCAAAGTATTTCAAATTCTAAAGTTTCTTTTTAGATTAAACCCAAATAAATATGAAATTCACACAACAATGTTTACAAACTTATTAAGCCTTACAGATACTTTTAATACATATATGTTATAGCTCCAAGTTACAAGCACAAATATGTAGTATGATATTAATATGGACGCTGGCAAATAAAATAGTAATTCTATGAACTTCCGAGATAAATTTATCAAAGAGCATAATTCATCAATTCCATGACAACACACCCATATAAAAATTATCGCAAAACACGAGATGTATATGCCACGAGTTGCTTTTTTTTCTCTGAACTTCCACGCTTTTATCGGTTTATGCCAGAAATTGCTTTTTATTAGATTTTATTTTAACGGAAAATACTGTGGCTTTCCTACCAAAACTCAATCTTAGGAAGAATGTAGCGTCCTCTAGCGAGCACATTTTACATGAACATTATTACATTTCTCGGTATTCTTTTTGTCAAGAATGGGACGTGAAAGAAATGTATAATTGAGAGAGAGAAAATTAGTATGAAAGTACTTGTAGAAAGTTGTGAAACAAGGGCTGGCTTATCAGTGAATAAACAAGACGGAATTATGTTTTACTCGGACGACACCAGAAGACAATAACTCAGTCCAGATGTCAGAGATGATAACATTTATTGATAAATCCAATCTGTTTGTCTTAAAAGATAACTTATAACAGTTCAAAGAAATATTTACTAGCTTATTTTAAAGCTAGCTTTTATTTGTAGCTTCACAGAAATATTTTTATTTATAATCCAATCACTGATGAACACGAACCTGCTATGAGAGGTTTGGAAAATATCTGCGAACAGATAAAATTTATTGTAAGATAACATGCGATTTGTGTGCTGATTTCGGTTTATTTTTCTTAACCGTCGAATATTTGAACATAAAAAATAAATGGTTAAATTAATAGTACAAGAAATCCATTACTTACATTCAACTTTGAAAACCGTTGAGGTACTTACACCAGGCCCAACACTGTTTCCACTACTTAAGCACGTGTAATTAGCATTATCGGAACCACGGTCAAGCTTGCCCGTTGGCCAAGCCGTTATGTTCCATTGAAGTGTACTGGACAAAGTGCTGAAGTGTCCAGAAGCCGGGTCCTCGGGTAATATTGTTGTTTCGATTGAATATAAATAAGAATCCATAATGCTCTCATCATTTCTAAGCCATTCGATATCACAAAGCGGTTCACATTCAATTATACAAGTCAAGCTGACATTTTCGGCGTCAGACGGCGCTCCATGTATATCAGGCAATTGAACAATCACTGCAGGTGGTGCTGAAGAAAGATAAAATGTTATTTCTACAGAGTCAATAAGGAAACCAAAAGTAAAAATAAATGTATCAAGAAATGCTCTGATATTGATGGATAAAGTCTATGCACGAAACCTAAAATATGTAACTGTTTTCCGTCTAGATATATTATCAACTCCTTTGAAATACCGTCTATGACGCTTCGATTTTTATCTGGAAATATATTGGTTTATACACGTTATTATCCAAATCAGATAAACGTTCAAACCTGAGTTAGAATACATTTTTCTTTATGTGTTTGTAAGTCACGTAGTTTATGATTATATAATAAGTTTTCATTTCTGGAAAGTCCAGATTTTATCTTACAATCAAGTTTTAAATATATGACGTCACTTGGTTTAAGAAAACATTTGGTTCTGACGTCTAAGAAAGCATTTAACAGGGTTTAGTGGCATGTCACTACATTTTAAAATTAATTTTCCACCAAACGGTTATTTCATTTACAATATTGCTGATTTGTAAAGAACGTTTTGAACTCTGATTCTGATGCTTGGTCTGCTACATATTATAACACAAGGTATCACACGAGTAAATGTAAGATTTTCCTGATAATTCTACATCGTTTCATTTCATGTATAATTGGACGAAAAATTGTATACATTCATTATTAAAGATTGTTTCATGGGACACGTGTGAAGACAAATCGCCATATCTGTTACATCACTGTTTAAAATAGCAGATAAGACAATCATCTGGCATTATTGAACGGAAGGGGTTAATGTTATTCTTATCTCAAAGTATTTAACAAACAAACAAAAAAAAACATGGTACGAATACGTATAATTATGTTTTATGTAAAATGTTTGTCAGTACACTAAGTTCGATCATAATACGTATAATTATGTTTTATGTTAAATGTTTGTCAGTACACTAAGTTCGATCATAATACGTATAATTATGTTTTATGTAAAATGTTTGTCAGTACACTAAGTTCGATCATAATACGTATAATTATGTTTTACGTAAAATGTTTGTCAGTACACTAAGTTTGATCATAATACGTATAATTATGTTTTATGTAAAATGTTTGTCAGTACACTAAGTTCAATCATAATACGTATAATTATATTTTATGTAAAATGTTTGTCAGTACACTAAGTTCGATCATGATACGTCATTTTGGATATGTTTTGCCATAGCACGAATTTGTTATTTGGTCTTTATATCTTCCTTCATACTCTTGTTTTAGACTGTAACGAAACTTCACGCTCCCATTGATCCCAAGCTTGTGTTAATTGTGAACGACATTACTGTCACACTTGCAACAAACTCCGTTATTTGTATTAATTGCGTGACATTTATTAATTTGTACTTGCGATAAATAATGAAATAGGTGAGTTAATAGGTGTGAAAATGTAGAGTTACACGACTCACCCTTCGGAAATAGATAGAACTCCCCCTTCTGGCCACTGCCAACAATATTTACCGCTGAGCACGTGTAGTTTCCCCTGCTGCTCAGACTAATCGACTCGATAGTCAGATTCTGGGCAGTATCGTGAACATCTTCACCGAGGTGTTCCCAATGAAACACAGAAGCCGGCGGACGACCTAAGTCTTCCACCATACATTCTAGTGTCATTGGTTGACTTTTCACTGCTGAAAGATTTCGTTCGATAATAATGGCAGGTCCAGGAATATCTGGAACAAGAAGTTTAAATATTAATTTGTATTTCTTTAAAACATTATAAGAGTTTATTTATACAGAAGACTCTCCGTAGTTTTGATACCAAGAAAAATAACAAAGAATATTACAAATAACAAAATATATTAAAAATTACAAAGATATTAAAAATAATCTTCAGACAACGAAGTTAAAAGCAAAAGAATGTTTTACGTAAAGGATAGACAAATAAATTTAAGTTACAATTTACAACATTTTGTAAAATATTCGACCAAAGGTAAGGATAAATAGTCTATCAGATCCAACCAAAGGTAAGGATAAATAGTCTATCAGATCCAACCAAAGGTAAAGATAAATAATCTATCAGATCCAACCAAAGATAAGGATAAATAGTCTATCAGATCCAACCAAAGGTAAGGATAAATAATCTATCAGATCCAACCAAAGGTAAAGATAAATAATCTATGAGATCCAACCAAAGGTAAAGATAAATAGTCTATCAGATCCAACCAAAGGTAAGGATAAATAGTCTATCAAATCCAACCAAAGGTAAGGATAAATAGTCTGTCAGATCCAACCAAAGGTAAGGATAAATAATCTATCAGATCCAACCAAAGGTAAGGATAAATAATCTATCAGATCCAACCAAAGGTAAGGATAAATAGT